TTTGACCTGTAAAATGGGCATGAGAGTGTTAGCCCTTTCATGGGGCATTTGTGAGGATTATATGCCTACCTCAGTGTCAGGTGGGGCAGAGGTCTTGGGAATTGCACTGACGCCCAGGCCAGTAATGACTGGATTTGGCATGAAAGGCAGAGCAGTTTTGAGTGGTGCCCATCCATGAAGTGGGTACAGCAGCCTCCACTTTGCTGGGCTGTGGATATGCTGAAGGGACAGCATGAAAAAGCGTTTCGGGCTGGGCACAGGGAATCACACCTGTGATCCCAGCACTTTGGGAGGCTGAGGTGGGTAGATCACTTGAAGGCAGTAGTTCAAGACCAGCCTGGCCAATGTGATGAAACCTCATCTCTACTAAAAATACAAAAATTTAGCTGGGTGTTATGATGCGCACCTGTAATCCCAGCTACTTGTGAGGCTGAAGCAGGAGAATCGCTTGAATCTGGGAGGGGGAGGTGTAATGGGCTGAGATTGTGCCACTGCACTCTAGCTTGGGTGATAGAGCAAGACTCTATATCCCTACCCCCCAAAAAAGCATTTAGCATAGTGGCTGCTGGCGGGGTTGGAGCTTGATAATTGACATCCCTCCTCTTCGTCATCTTCACTCACACTTTGGGATGGAATATGTGTCAGTGCAATTGGAATTCAATTCACATTGTGGTCAGAGACTCACAAGAGCAGGTGGGGCAAGTCCTGAGACCGGAACGCAGGGAAGTGCTGGCAGTGGATAGAAGCCGGGAGGGGTTCCAGGCAGATGGAGTGAGCGAAGGTGGAGAGGCCAGAATGATCCTGGAGACCAGGGCCCAGTGGGGAGGCTGCTGGGCAGGAAGAGGGCTCTGCCTTTGTTTGAGGGGTACATTTTCCTCACCCTCATGAGCTCCTGACGCATTTCTCCTCTTGTCCTCCAGCCTCCCACTGTGGGTCCAGGAGTCCTTTGGGAACTCAGTTGTGGAGTCCCCACAGCACCCAGGAGTGAGGTATAAGGCTCCATTGCCCTCAGAGAAGCTGTCTGAGGCGGTGGGCAGAGTGGGGGTGATGGGCTGGCACGGGCCGCGAGGGCTTCCTGATAAGGTCCTCATGGGCCCATCGAGCTGGAATCCTCTGCTGGGCTGGGCGGCCCCGAGCACCAGGCAGGACCATCCATCATTGGAGGGGAAAATTGCTCAGGGAGTCAGCAGGACACAGCCGGATGTGTGCCTCTGGGCTCCGTCAGAATGAACACGCCCTTTCAGGCCATTCATCAAATTTAGCTGTAGCGCTTCTATTTTTTCTCCCTTTTGTTTCAGTCAAGGCACCTATCTTCTAAGGAAGACAAATGCAAAGCGAGCGTCTTGGTAAACAACAGGCTCAGAGGACAGGACTCTTTCAGGGCCACGAACAACCTGGATGGTGCTGGGATTGGAGAAACGTTTTAGAGAACAAAAGCCAAGTGAAGCCTCCAGGGGGCTGTGCTGCCGCCTCCCACCCTGCGGAAGCTCCACCTCCAGCCTCTAGAGCAGCAGCAACAGGACCACGTGCTTTTTCCTGCACAGGCACCGGACGACGGGCACCTCGCCCCAGCCTACTGTGGAAGGCAAATCGTCATGCCGTTTGACAGCTGAGGAAACTGAGGCTCAGAGGGGTTAAGTGAGTTGCCCGACAGCGGCTCCAGGTGGGATGTGGGCACAGCTGTGTTTCCACCTTCAGAAGTGCCGGCAGGGGGTTTGCTGTTTGAGAGGCCAGCCTCTTAGGGCGGCCTGGGTCAAATGTTAACTCCACCCTTACTAGGTGGGTGACCTTGAGCCTCTTGCTTAACCTCTCCATGCCTCTGGATTTCTGGGTAATGAAACTCTCCACGTCCGAGAACTGTTTCAAGATTGAATGAATGAATTGGTGCAGAAGTGGCAGTGCATGTGAGTTGTGCTCAGGAACATTTTTTTTAAGTAGCCCCTTTAAGGGTGGCATTACGATCGCAGCCTGGGGTGCTGGACTTGTGCAGGGGCAGCCTCTGGAAGCTTGTGGTTGTGTCCTGTCTCCTGGGGAGGGCACTGGCCGCTGCTGATTGGCATGGAGGATGGCACGCCCACACTCTGTTGGTCTCTGTGAACTGGCTGGTGTCTGAGGCCCATGGAGGGTGCTTTTCTTGAACCCATTGCTGCCCCAGGACCTGTGGCCTTGCTGGGTAATGCTGGCTTAAAATGTGGCTCCCATCCAGACATCTGGCTTGCACTCATCTCTCCAGTGTCAATGCATGCCCAACCAGTCAATTGTTGAAGCTTCTGGAATGTTCCAAACAGTGTTAGAGGCATTGCTTCTCTGTGTTAAAATACCTTCTTGCAAAAACTCTGACAGTGGCCAGGGTACCCCCCCCCCCTTGGTACCCTTGATAGTGGCAGGTTTTAAAAAATGCCAAGTCCAGGGAAAGGTCAGGCCCTGCCTAAGAACAGAAGCAGTGATGTCTGCCCTTTGACTCCTGACCCAGTGGTCCATCTGTCACACCCTCGACCCTTTCAGTGTTCTTCCATTCTCTCTGCCCACACCACAGCTGGAGTCTCTCCTCCACGGGGGCCATTACAATGAAATGTCCAGCACCCACCCTCCTTTCCATTGAGCAGCAGCCATGCCATTAGGGGACGGATCTCTGACTTTAAGGGTGGGCTCTGGTTGGCCTCAACAAACCACGTGATCCCTTCCATCCTCTGCCAGTGTGGGCTTAGAATTCTAGGCAAAATCCATGCTCCTGATACTCCTCAGGGAACAAAGGTGACTTCACCTCAAAGCAAAGTCCAGACCTTGCCTAAGAAAAATAGACACAACAACGTTGTGTTTTGACTCTGGGGCCAGGGGTCATGTGCCCAGTCCCCTCCGCTTCAACTGTCACATACACTCCTGACTATTGTTTGCTTGCCTGGCAGTCTCTGCGATTGACAGGGACAGGCTCAAAGGCAGGGACTGTGTCTCCTCATCCTTGGCTCCAGGTCCACACAGACCTTGGCACTGGCACAGGGCAGCAGGTGACCGATCAACAGCCTCCTGTGGGAGGTTGAGGTGGGGGTCGATGAAGATGCCGTGGACAGGGCTACGGACCAGGAAGGGTGGGATGGGCTGGCTTGTTTGGCATCAAGCAGAGTGGGGTCAAAACCCTTCCCAATAAAAATGAGAAATAAAAATAAAACTTTAACCCCCACAAGTGACTGAACGGACCCCCGCTTGACCAAGGGGACCCCAGAGAAATCTTGAAAAGTTTCTGGCCATGGCAGGATGGGAGGTCGCACACACCCTGTGGTGCCCTGTTCCTTGATAACTTCCATTAGACTTTCTTCCCTAAGAGCTAAACAGAAGCCGGTCTTTTCAAAAGACTCCATGCTGATTTCAGCCAACTGCCCCTCCCTTTTACGGTTTTGACACAAAAACTCACCAGCATTCTTTCTTGATAAGAGAACACCAAACATGGAGAGGTTCTAGCCAGTCTGCAGAGGATGCACAGTGAGGGTTTTCATGCCCCCTGCTTCACCTTTGACATCAGAGGGCTGAAAATTCCACCTCCGATCACACTAAGGCCAGCACTTTTTTGTACACAGGGCCCATAAGAGGCATGAAGCTCAACTGTGCATGCACACGTTTCTCCCTTCATAAATATGCATGACTCCCCCCACAGCTTATTGAATATGCATATTTGGCCACGGTGCTCAGCATACATTTCAATTCCCTTTGCCTCTTCCTCAAAGTATCAGTTTCTGGCTTCCGGCCAGAGGCCATGTTTCCCGGCCTGTCGGAATGGCCACCCGGGAGGCTGCAAAGCTTTATGAGAAATAAAGCTCCCCTTTCCAAATCACCACCACCACCGTGCTCTTTCCCCCACTAGCTGCATGACCCTGGCTAGGAAATGACTTCTTCTCTGAGTGTCTCAGCCTTGATGGAATAGATCATCCCTGGTTGTCTGATGATCAGAGTCCCGTGTTTATCGGGGATCCTCTGGGCGTCGGGTAGCGCACTGCACTAAGCATTCACAGGCATCATCTTACTGAACCTCCCGCAAAGCAGGTACCAAACCCATTTCACAGACAAAAAGCGGAGGTCCAGTGGGGTTCAGGTCCTTGCCACAGTAGGTGGGTGGTGGAGCTGGGACTCCGCAGCCTGACCACGCCCCGGGGTGGCAGTACTGGGTTGTGGGCGGAGAGCAGTGAGCTCCTGTGCCACAGTCCCACAATCCCCAGAGCTGGTGAGTACATGCAGGCCCCTCCCCTCTTTGCCCCCACTGATCCAGGAGGTCTGATGGGTCCCGAGAAAGTGACTGTTTCCCAAGCTCCCTCCTCCTCCCCACCCCACGATGCTGATGCAGGTGTCCAAGGAGTGCATTTCCAGAAACACTGCTCAGGCAGTGCTGTCTACAAACCCCCAGCTGAGAGCTCAGGCTTAGAAGGTGAGGGATAATAACATGAATAGAATTCTGCTAACAAAGGAGCGGAGCCTCTACACAGTGGCAGGCAGTGTTCTAAACACTTTCATTCATATAATTTTCACAACGATTTTCCAAGGTAGTGATTATTATTGGCCCTATTTTACAGGTGAGGAAATGAGGTACAGAAAGCTTAAATAACTTGCCCATTGCCCTACAACTAGTAACAGCTGGTTAGCCAACTTATAATAATAATCATAATAATTTTAAGATCTTTCCCCTGTATCCACCTGCGTCAGATACTCTCCTGGGGAAGGGGCACCCTGGGAGCTTTTACTCAGGGAAGTAAAGAAGTGTGTGGCTAATACCAGGGAGCCAGAGAGATTCAGCTGTCCCCAAGTCTGTCCTAGAGATGGAGAGATAGGATGCTGGTTTTGCCCTGAGCCCCCGCCAGCTTTCTAGCTGCACGTCTTGGCTGTGAGTGCCAGGAGGAGGGTTGGTGGGCAGTGCCAGCGGAAGCTCCAGGGTAGGTGGGTCAGGGCTCCCACTTGCTAGGTCCACTTTCCCTTCCCATGTCCAGGGCCCCAACAGGACGCTTGGGGGCTCCTACCTTCTTCCCCTGGGCTGCTCCCATGGCACGAGGTGGGCACCAGGCCTGGGTGGGCTGCAGGGACCAGGCCGGGGTCGGGTCCTTCCTGCTGGCGTGGATTTCAGGAGCCGGGACCTGAGGGGCTTCCGGGGCCAGGGCCCCCTGTCCTCTTGCGGCTCATTCTCCCCGGCACAAAGGCGGCTTTCACAGCTGCTCCTAAGCCCAGAGCGCCTCAGACAGGCTTAGGGCGATTGATCCTGACAGAGGGGCCAGTGTCCCCAGGCGGCTCCCATGCCTTTCTTGGGTCCCTGCAGCTCCTCACCTCCCAGAACGCTGCCTCTCTCAGGAAGGGAAACTGAGGCAGCTGGGAAAGGGGGGAAGACGCAGGGCAGTCCTCTCATCACACACCGGTAGCTCAGGTGCGGCAGGTGACCTCTGGCTGGCCCAGCACGCAGGACTTGGACTTCTTGCCTTGCTGGGCACTGCTCAGCAGACAGGGCCAGACAGTGGAGGCCGGGGGCTGGCTGAGGTGCAGAGCTCTGGGAGGGCTGCGTGGGGATGTCCGCCTCGGCTGGACAGCCCCATTAATAATAGACCTTTGAAGATTCTTGGGGTCTGGGACTCTCCCACAGCAGGAACTCTGAGAGCAGACGCCTGGGCAGCAGGCTGCCTGGGAGGGCTGGAGGCCAGCTGGTCTGGGCTCAGGCCAAGAAAATATCTGGAGGCCGGATTCCAGGCCTGGGGCCAAGTTCTCAAAGTGCCCCCGGCAGTCACCCTCCTCCTCATCTGCCAGCCCCTTCCTTCTCTGTGATGCCAGCTTGTAGCAGAGGTTAAGCCTGAAGAAACCTTGGGCTTGAACTGTGGCTCTGCCCCTGACAGCTGTGGGGCCTTGGGGCACGGTGTGTGTGTGTGTGTGTGTGTGTGTGTGTGTGTGTGTGATAAGCACTCCCACTGCACAGGGCTAAAGGAAGTAAGGTGTGTGTGTGCAGCTGAAGCCATCATTCTGTGAAAGCATAAATCAGAGCATGTCACTCCCTGTTTGTTTGTTTGTTTTTGAGATGGAGTCTCACTCCGTCGCCCAGGCTGGAGTGCAGTGGCACAATCTCGGCTCACTGCAACCTCTGCCTGCCAGGTTTAAGTGATTCTCCTGCCTCAGCATCCCGAGTAGCTGGGAATACAGGTGTGCGCCACCAAGCCCAGCTGATTTTTGTATTTTTAGTAGAAACAGGATTTCACCATATTGGCCAGGCTGGTCTTGAACTCCTGACCTCATGATCTGCCCGCCTTGGCCTCCCAAGGTGCTGGGATTACAAGTGTGAGCCACTGTGTCTGGCCATCACTCTCTGTTTTATAATCTGTTGCTTCACCAAAGGTGGGGTAACAGTTGCCCCCACTAGCTGGGGCTGTGAGGGTGAGCACAGCATCTAGCGAACAATTCCTCAGAGAAGTGAGGTGCTGCTGTTAAGAACACAAATGATAAGTCCATTGCCCACTGGAAAGTCCCGGATAACCAGTTCACTAAGCACAACACCCTTTCCCCAGAGGTGGGCGGGTTGGGGAAGCTTGCCACCCTTTCCTTTCCTCTAGCGTGGTGCCTGGCACACACACAGATGTCTCATGGAAACGCAGCTGGTGGAGGGTCAAGAATTAGGCGTTCTGTCCAGCCTTGCCAACAGAACAAAATCCCCCGGGGTCCGCAAGGTCTGACAAATGGCCTTGCTAGGACCTCAGTTCCCTCTCCTCCCTGTCCCTGGCAGTTTCTGGGTCACGGCACCTTTCCCCTTCCCAGGGCCTGTGCACTGGCCACTCTCTCTGTGTGGAATGTTCCCTCCCCAGCTTCCCCTCTGCTCCTCATGTTTCATATTTTGATATTTGCATGATTCTCTCCTTTTTATCTTTCAGGCTCCTCAGAGAAGCTTTCTCTGACGCCTTCTGCGAAGCAGTTCCCAGGCTCTCTGTTTATTATTTTGTCATAGCACTCATCAACAACGAAATGATATGACTTCTGTGTTGATTTTCTGTCTCCTCTGCCTGGAATGGCGGTTCCACAAAGGCCAGGGCCTGGTCTGTCCTGCTCCTCAGTTTACCCCCTGGGTCTAGAGCAATATTAGTGGAAGAATACATGATGGAGGATTAAATGAAGTGGTCTAAGCTGATCGAGTGCTTAGCAGAGTCCTGGCTCATCACAAGTGCTCACTACACAGCGCTTCTTAATACTGTTGTTATTGAAGTTACTGTATTTCCTCCAATACCCACGACCCTTCCAGCCAAGCAAACACGTGGCTTCTTCCTTCTGCCCCTTCCCTTGGGTTCAGCCCCTGCCTCCCTTGGCTGCTCCGCACTCCTGTTCTCCCTGTTCCAGTTGTGGCCTGATTACAGTTTTGGATTTCCTGCAGAAAAGAGAAAGTCCACAAAACTGTAAAGGGAAATGGCTCAATCGGCTGTCAGATGGAGCAGTAAAAATGCTCTAAGTCAATGCGGAAGATCAAACTCCTTTGGCAGCCATCCCATAATTATCCACCAGCTTGACTCTTGGTGGGGTAGGAGGAGAGAGAATGAATTTTACACATTTATTAATTTTTTTCCATCTGCTTGGAGTCCTGCTGAAATATGGCTTAGTGCTGCGGTGAAAGCCTGGCTGATTGGCTGATGGAGCCCGTGACTGGGCTCTGAAGCCCGGTCCCTGGCAGGATCACCACCCGAAATGCAACCTTCAGGCCTCATGGCATGGGCAGGAGGGATGGGGTGGAGGCCCAGGGCCCAGCACCATGCCCGGCACAGAGGCAGTACTTGGAATATGTGAACAGATGATTTATGGAGTGACAGCTGGTGGTGAAGGACCAAGAAGCAGGTGTTCTAGACCCAGCTTTGTCCCATCTCACTGTGGGCTGGGGACACCCTCAGCCTCTCTTTCTCCATCTGCACAATGAGAGCAAACATCTGTTCCTTCTTGACTCACAAGCTAATAGAAGGAAGTAAGGCTTACAAAGTGTGAGGGGGGCTTTGGGCTTTAAAGAGTTCGAAATCCCTCAAACCCAGTTCCTCTGCACCTCTTCCAAAGCAATGAAGGCAAGTGTTGGGAATGCTAACTCCGACGTTCTGTGCAATCATCAAAAGGCTTCAGAGGCAGTTAGGAGCAGGGGGAGGAGGGGAGGAGGGGAGGAGGGGAGGGGGAGGGGAGGAGATACACTTTACCTGAGAGGTTTAGGGCAAACACATCTGTTTCATGTAATGTTGGAGACAGACTGGAATTCCAGTCCTTGTTCTGAGACTCCTTAACTACGTGACTTTGGACAAGTCACTTGGCCTCTCTGAGCTTCATCTTCCTCCCGTGTAAAAGAAGGTAACAGTGGTTCCCATCCCGTGAATGTGGGGGCTATGAGGATGAAATGAGGTAATTCATGTAAACCTCTGAGCAGAACGTCTGGAAACTGCAGTGCTCTGTAGAAGCGAGGTGCTGCATTTGCTACACTAGGGGCAAGGCTGAAGATAAGTCCACTCTCCACTGCGAAGGCCCGGATAAGGAGTTCATTAGGCACAACAGCCTCTCCCAAGAGCTGGGTGGGCGGGGAGACCTTGCCACCCTTCCCTTTCTAGCTTGTGCCGCCACCTACTGGCGAGGACCAGAATTACAGCTTCTGGAAAGCTCTCCCTGGGGCCCCACCCCTCATAGCCCTGTCCTCACTCCCTGGTGGGTGGGAGGCACACTGGCAGGGAGTGGGGAGGCAAATCCAAGCCTCCAGTTCTGAGGCCACGATGAGCTTGCAGAGATTCCTGAAGGCTTGTTGACCTCAGTGAGGAAATGAATCCCAAGTCTTACCCATTTCATTTTCTGATGATCCCCGGGAGAGGCCCCTGGTCCGGGCCACCACCCTCTCTCTCTCCCTGGATGATACAGCAACCTCCTCACTGTCCCCCCTTCCTCCACTCCTTCACACAGCAGCAAGGAATTTTCAAAATATGTAGATCTTGTCACCTTGCTCCCAGAGTGTCCCCTGCCCTGGGACAAAGTCCAAGCCCTCTACCCAGCTCACAAGGCCCCTCGGGCTCTCACCTCCCAGTCAGCCCTGTCACTCACCCTCTGCCCCTTCCAAATCTTGTTCGTGCTGTTCCCTGGCCTGACATGCTCTTCCCTCGCTTCTTTGCCTAGCGAGGTCCTACATGCTCCCAAGGGCTCAGCATGGATGGTGCTTCCTCCAGGATGCCTTCCTGGATCCCCCAAGGCTGGGGCAAGGGTCCAGCAGTCTTTCCCCTTGCCAAGCCACGTCCCCTCTGGATTTACATCTCCTGCTAAACAGCAGGAATGGTGCTGGGTTTTCTTCACTGCAGTATCCCCAAGCCTACTGGGTTCCTGATACATAGCAGGTGAGTCATAACTGCTTGCTGAGTGATAAAAGTGACTTCCTGCTGATAAAGACCCAACTCTCTACAGCTTGAGCTGAGCTGGGGATCCCTATAGTGGCCACAATGTCCTGAAAATGATATTGAGAGTCTAATGGGTGTCTGCCACTTTTGTAACACCCACCGCTGGGGGCGCCTAGTGTGGCTGGCTCAAGAATGCAGTCAGTCTCCTTAGTGGGTTGTGGGGGTACAACAATGGCTACTTGAGCTTCTCTTCTGGCTTATTCTGGGCATTTGAGAATGTGTTGCCTGAGGCCTACACCTTGTCAAGGAGGGGGAGGCGGGAGGGGAGCATGACTGCTAATCTCCGCCTTGTGTTCCCTGCTGTGGAACAGCACGTGGCCTCTTCTGTGGGCTCCACGTGGCAGTGCAAGTGCAGCTCCCCCCTTCGGAGCTCTTTCTCCTTGAGAACGGAGCCCTTTGACGACAACAAGTCCTGCGGACCTGGAGGTCTTATCTCCCAGCCCAGTCCCATCCAGCTGGCTGTGCCCACCGCCTCTCTTAGGATGGGTCCCCAAGGATCCCACTTTGGGATAGGGATTGTCACCCAGATGATTTGTTAAGGACTGGCCCCTGGGCACGCTGGTAAGGAAGTGGAGGTGCAGGATGGGGAAGGGGAAGGAGGCAAGCAAAAAGGGACACTTTCAGTCCAAGTCCCAGCTCCCGCCTGATCCCTCTGGGAATGCTGGAGTGTCAACCACATGTCACGGTCATCATGCCCCAAGACAAGGAGCTGGCCTTTCACATTCCCGCAGCCGCCAGTCATCAGCTAAGGAGCATCCCGCGGTGGGTACAGGTTCCGAGCCTCCCAGTCTGTCTTCTTTGTATTTGTGCTTAAAGAAGGTATGAGTGGCCTAAGGACAGTGCTCCAAAGAAGAGTTCAGACTGACCATTAGCAGCAAAATCTGGGAAAGGGACCTGGGACTGGTCCCTGCATTCTCTGATTGAGCCAGTTGACATGTTCTCCATCTTCTTTGAAGTGTTGTGCAATGCAGTTTCTGGAAAAGTCCATGTGTCTTCTCTTCAACCGGGCAGCCAGCCACCCCATGTCTTCTTAAAATAGTGGCCGCTGCCAAGAGCCCCCTTGGCTTCCTGACGGCTTGACCTCAGTGACAAGCCCTGTCCCTGGTCATGAGCTCCCTTTAGAAGTCTTTATTTGTTCTTTAAAAATTTTATAAGATCCTCTTGCTTGTTGTAAGGTGAAATTTCCAAGATCTCAACGGTGTTTATGGACACAGTGAAAATTTCCAGCCACCTTCATTCCCAGAGCTGGTTTCCGGCCATGTTTCCCCAGGTAGTCTACTGATGCGGTTGGAGGTGGTTACTCAGGGCTGCTTGCGGGCTTCTCCTTTTATCCCTGAGGGTGAGCTGGGAGTGGGGTGGGGCCGGGAGTGATGAAAATGACTGGATGTCTGGATGGGCCCCTTCTGACTTCCTCAGCCGACCCTGAGGATGGCTCTCGCCAGGCTTTGGGCCTTGAATTTTTTTTTTTTTTTGAAATAGAGTCTTGCTGTGTTGCCCCGGCTGGAGTGTAGTGATGTATCTCAGCTCACCACAACCTCTGCCTCCCACTTTCAGGAGATTCTCTTGCCTCAGCCTCTCCAGTAGCTGGGATTATAGGTGAGTGCCCAGCTAATTTTTGTATGTTGGACAGGCTGGTTTTGAACTCCTAGCCTCAGGTGATCCGCCCGCCTTGGCCTCCCAAAGTGCTGGGATTACAGGTGTGAGCCACCGCGCCTGGCCTGGACCTTGATTTTGATATCACTGCAAGTGTAGCCCATGTCCCAGCTGCCATGGCCCCTGGCAAAAGATTCCCACATACTATCCTCTCTACCCCAGGCTATCCTGGCACATTTGAAGCTCTCCCAGGACTTGGGAGCTGCGTGTCCCAGGCCACTGGTGGGCATCTGTGCTTGGGCAGAGGGCTTCTTCTCCGGGAGGTGCAGTGCCCCCAGCACATGCTCCGGGAGGCTGAGTAGCAATGTTTTCTGCCCCCATGCCCCCCTTTCAAGACTTAGTCTAGAGCATGGGAACTGGGCCCTTCTCAGAGACCTCAGGCAGGTCTTGGCACCGTATCCCTTGGCCTTCCCATTTCAATGTGCTTCTGCGGCCTGCCAGCAGCTGGCATTGCCCTCTCTTGGCTGGGGGGTTGCTATGAAGCCACAGAGGGCCATTCTTCCCTAGGCAGGGGAGACAAGAAGCGCCTAGGAATTCACATTATCCCCAACATCAGAAGCCCTCAACAAACCACTGGTGGGAGTTGGTGTGTAAATACCCCAGCTCCCTCACTCTGGGATGGAGTGTCTCTAAGGTGCCGGGTTCCACCCTGACTCCTAGAGCTTCAGGTGGGAGTCAGCTCCAGTTCCCACTGGGATGGCTGGGTTGAAACCACACCCTTCACTGGCTGCCTTCCCCTCCTTCCCTTCCCATCTCTCTTCCCTACTTCCCTATTGGTGTTTCCCACAATCACCTCCCAAATATGCTGGCTGCCTTTGAGTCCTTGCCTCGGGGTTCACTCCTGGGGAGGAGACCACCCGGCTGCCTTCCCTGAAGCCCACAGCACAGCCCGGCTGCTCCTTCCAGTGGGGTTCAGACCCACCCCATCTCCCTCTCCTGCTCCGGACTTGCTCCAGCTCTCCTTCAGACAGCGGGTGATGACGGTACTTCTGGCGTCCTGTCCCTGAGCTCCCTCTGTTCCCGTCCATCTCACATGATGGACGTAACCGAGGATTCTCTCAGGCCCATGGGAAATCCCAAAAACACAGCTCCCACCCAGCTGCCTAAGGGGGAGCCTGAAGTTGTCACCAACCTGTCCAAACCCGTGGCCCATGTTGAGTCTGGAGCAGTTCAGTCCCAGGGAGAAACATGGCCACTTGAGTGATCAGAAAGTTCACTGAAAACCAGCAAAAATAAAATTTAATTGGGCTCAATTGTGGGCAGTCAGTCCTAGGCCGTCAGCAGTCCCTGATGACAGCACCCTGTTCTCACCACAGACAGCTGGTTCCGGAAGGACCCTCTGAGGCTGGTCTCCTAGGTGGGTTGTGCTGTGGGAGGATTCTGCTTCCGAGGAGGGGAAGCGCGACCCAGTGCACAAGGACCGACAAGACAGCGCCTTCCACGCAGCACCCTCTGCTCCTTCTCCTCGGCTCCTGCTGGGCTCTGACTCCTAAGTCAGGAGCTTCTTCAGGCCTCCAAGCACAAGAAGAGCCACAGTCACCCTAAAATGGTCTTGGGGGCACACAGCCCTCCATCTCCAGCAGCTCTGGCCATCCCTCATATTTGTTGGTGTTTGGGTTGTTCTTTAAGAACTAGAGAGAGAAGACAGAGAAATATAGATGGTGGATGAGGCCCTTTAGAACCCACACCCGCATGGGCACTGCACTCTAAACCTAAATGGTGTGCAGGATGTTATTAACCCACTTCACAGATGGGGAAACTGAGGCTCAGAGCAGGGACGCAACTTGCTCAAGGTCTCAGAGATGGGATCAGAGCCCAGTTACTGCTATCACGCCATGAAGGGTAACTAGTTGTTGGAATGATCTAGCCCTTCCTCCTAAATTCTCTGTGTCCCTCTAGGATACCTCAAATAACAATAATAATAGCAACAATAAAAAGAAGACTCCTAGCCCGTCTTGAGTGCCTGCTGTATGCCAGGAGCTGTTCTGTGGTGCCTTATGTATTTAATCTGCACAGTGGCCCCAGGGAGTGTGCACTGTTTACATCCCATTCCCCAGATGGAGAAACTGAGGCACAGAGGGTCACTGCCTGTAGTCACTGGCTGGTAAGTGGCAGAACCACAATGTGATATTAATTAATATTAATAATAAAGGGCTGGGTGCAGTGGCTCACACCTATCATCCCAGCACTTTGGGAGGCTAAGGAAGGAGGGTCACTTGAGGCCAGGATTTCAAGACCAGCCTGGGCAACATAGGGAGACCGTGTCTCTACAAACATAAAAAAATTAGCTGAGTGTGGTGGTGCATGCCTGTGGTCCCAGCTACTCAGGAGGCTGAGGCAGGAGGATCTCTTGAGCCCAGCAGGTCGAGGCTGCAGTGAGCCAAGATTGCACCATTGCATTCCAGCCTGGGTGACAGAGTGAGACCTTATCTCAAAAAATATCCATACTAGTAACAAGTATATAAGAGAATAAAATCACTTAGGATTGTGTCTAAAATGCTCAGGATTAGTTTATGAAGAAAAAAAATGTCAATGGCAAAATTTGCTGTTAGGGTCGTCGTGGCTGACTCTCAGGAATTAAAAAAGAGAGTCTAGACGCTGCCTGTCTAAAACCCAGTGTCCCAAGTGTGGGGACAGAGAACAGATTGGCTTAGTCCCATCGGGGTGCTTGGTTCATTTTGGGGTGCTGGGTCCCAGCCAGCCGGTGGCTGATGAGTGTGGGTGGTGCCGGGCTCCCTGTGCTCCAACACTCCTGCACCTCCTCTGTCTGGCCGGTTCCCCTGGGTCTGGCGTCCACACTTTGGGAGAGAACACCACCACCTGCCTATGCAGCCTCAGGCCTCTCCCTAGGGCCCTGCCCTGGCACCCCCATAGGACATTTGCCCCCCCCCGCTGGCAGTCTCCCGTGTTCTTCACTGCATTCAGGTAATTTCTAGTTACCTGAATAATTCTCTTAGAAACACGCGCATACAGACCAAGCCCACATTTTCTATCGTAGAAATCCCCATTGAGGTGCCCTCCCTGGAGCTCAGCACACAGTTCCCCACACCTGCCTGCTCCGGCCCCTCTTGTCTGATGATGGCATCGGCCCCCTCCCCACCTCTGAGTTCCCTCCTGGTATTCTCCATGCCCAGCCAGGGAGGCTGAAGGGACAGGGAAAGGCATCCTGCCCCTTTCCCCAGCTCTCCTTCCCCATCACACAGCTTCCACGTCTCCACTTCCTTCTCGCTCCTCCATGCCTCACTTACCCATCATCCCTCTGTTCTCCTTTTCCCTTTTCATTTTCTGGTACTTACCCATATACCTGGCTATCTTTATATGACCTACCTTTTACGAAATGGCAAGGCAGCTTCCTGCCAGGGGCTGGCCAATCAGACCACCCTGACCTTTGGAGTGAATGACAACCAGGGGCCTCTCCGCAGACACTCCCACTTTTAATGCCCTTGGTGGGTGACTGGGTGACTCTCCTTCCTTCACAGGGCCAGGTTGTGGCCCAGAACCCACCTGCTCAAAGGGGCTTTTATCCTTTAGGTTTTTGGCTCCTATGAAGACCCAGCTGTCCCGGAAGCCCAGCTGTTTTGCGTAGGAACTCCCCAGGTTGGTGAAGAGTTTCCTGGCTTCATCATTCATTCTGCAGAGGACCAGAGAGGATGATCAGGATGCAGGAATGGGTTGGGGGGGCATTAGGTGGTGGGATTCCCATGGGGCGGGGTTCCTACTCTTCTTCCTGTTCAGCATCTGCCCTGGAGGTGCCCAGAGAATGTGGCTGCACTCAAGAAGGACAGGTAAGAGGGGTTCAAGACTTCCTCTCTAAAAGGGCCTCAGATGGGGCTGGAGATGTGTTAAAACAGTACCGCTCTGTTTACAAATACATGTTCATCTGGAAGACATGGAGCATCACAAAGAAGTAACTGAGAGGCCAGGTGCGGTGGCTCACGCCTGTAATCCCATCACTTTGGGAGGCCGAGGCGGGTGGATCACGAGGTCAAAAGATCGAGACTATCCTGGTCAACATGGTGAAACCCCGTCTCTACTAAAAATACAAAAATTAGCTGGGCATGGTGGCGCATGCCTGTAGTCCTAGCTACTCGGGAGGCTGAGGCAGGAGAATTGCCTGAACCCAGGAGGCGGAGGTTGCGGTGAGCCGAGATGGCGCCATTGCACTCCAGCCTGGGTAACAAGAGTAAAACTCCGTCTCAAAAAAAAAAAAAAAAGAAGTAACTGAGAAATCCTGTCTCACCCCTCCTTCCCTTGACCTGATCAGTGTATCTATTTTGATATAGTGTTTTTCCCCTCACTAGCACTAGAGGGTGAGCGCGTTTTCCACATGCTTAACTACTTCCTGCCCATCGTTTTTGATGAGTCTATCTTCATCTGTGTATACATCATATCCTGTGTTACTATATGTCATAGTTTCTGTAGCCAGTCAGCCATTATTACTGGACAGGGGGAGTATTTCCAGTTCTTCACGGTGGTAATGGAGGCTGTGATGAACCACCTAGAACATTTCTTTGCATCCTTGTTTGATAATCTCCTCAAGATAAGTTACCAGAAAATGGCACTGGCGAGAGAGCAGAAGAGGGCATGCAGGGTTTGGAGGTGTTCAGCTCACATCGCTTCGCGGCCCGGCAGGTAGATTTTTCCACTTACTTGGTCCCCGGGTCGTCGTAGGAGGCCACCAGCACCAGTGCACCCTCTGGAATTTCTTTAAGGAATTTCACCAGGTGCTTAATATCTGGGGGAGGAAGGAAAAGGCGGTGCTGGTGATTTAGGGGAAATGAGCCCTGCTCATTCTCATGTTTGTCTATTGACACAGGAGCCAGCTGGGTCCTGCAGACACTGGGCTGTGCTCAGAAGCCAGGAGGAGGAACATCCCAGTGGAGCCCCCCCATAGCCCTTGTCCTAGGGGAGGGCAGAGTGAGCGGAGTGAGGGGGACTCACCCAGGTGATCTGGGGTGGCTTCTGAACACTGGAACTTAAAAGTTCCCCAGGTGACTGCAACGTGCAGCGGAGGGGGAGCACCACTGGCAGAAGGGCCCTTGTGTGCCTGCCCCTCAGGGAACCATAATCTCTCAGGTGCTCTGGGACCTTTGCATACTCCAGACCCCATTCTACACTGGACAGTGCGCAGATTATCTGTGCTGACTTTAGATGGTGTAGCACGTGGTCTCGAACAACTGAGATCCCTGGGAGAGAACTTGAGTCTACTATTAATACACCTCTCCTGCTGTGTCAAGGAGCAAGTCTCTGCATGTGTCTTTAACACCTCCCTAACTTGCCAAGCTCTCCATTTAACAGGCAGCAGCTCTAGGCTTAGCACCTGTGGGAGGCATCAGCATCCAGCTCCCTGTGAAGAGGCTAATTTGTTTCCATTGTGATTATTTTTATGGCCACCTTTCCTGCATAATGAGTGATAATGGCTTTCTACTTAAGGCAGTGATATAGTTTCAAGATCTATTTACTTAGGTAAGAAAAAAGTGACACAATTTAAAGGAATATATGAATAATGCAGATGTTATTCTAGATATGGTACAACCTGAGGGGGCTGAAGTTTGGGAACAAACAGCCTAGTGGTTAAAGTAGAGACTATATCTGTCAAATGAGGCTGAGTAATAGCCCTGCTCATAGGCTCTTCATAAAGTGCTGTGACAATAACCTTGGGGATACAGTAAGCATACTCTAGTGGAACCAAAAATTATTAGCAGGACTGGCTGCATAATTTGCCGGGCCCAGTGCAGAATGAAAATCAGGGCCTTTTAATAAAAAATTATTAAGTATTTCAAGACCACGATGGCAGAACATCAAGTCAAGGGTGAGATTCTTCCAAGCACGGCCCCTGTGTGAATGCCCTTTCTCCAGGTCACAGCTGGCCTTGATTATTAGTATTCCAGTTCAGACCCCTAGGACCTTGTGGAAGAAGCCACTGTCCCAACTAAGGCCAGCTGCCAACGAGGTCAGTAACAGTGGTTTCCAGTCAACCACCACAGTCACTCTTCTAAAGAAATGGCCCTTGACCTTTCATGAGGGAGGGAGCCCTTAAATCACCGTTAATTTGTGTTGTTAGCAGATATTATGGTCCGGCGCTTGCCTGGATGGACGGTGGATATTTGGAAAAACTAAAGTGTGCCTTCTGCTAATGATCACCTCACTTTAAAAAGCTGTCATCTCCTTTTGTTTCCTGAAGGAAAGGGCTGCTTGCTCACAGTGCTGCTGTGTCTGGACCCCCATCTGCCATGGCTACATTCAAGTTTATAACAAGACATTTTAAAGCTTAGTTTTGTCTTAAAATTTGTTTTCCTTTTCACTCTGACAGATGATGTCCTTGCTTCTGAGTCATCTGGATGGAATGAGGGAAGCGGGAAGGGAAGACGAAGAGGAGGGAAGGGAGAGGACTAAACTAGCTTGCCCGGGTCCCCCGACCAGGGAGGCTGGACACCCTTCCGCCAGTCATTTCAGCTTATCATCGAATCCTCACGTCAGTTGTATGGAGTGGAGACTGTGGCTGCCTCTATGTTACAGATGAAGAAACTGAGGATCAAGAGGCGCCACCTGCCTCAGGTCATGCCGTGGGGAGCTTCTGACTCTGGAGACTGGATCTTTTTCGTAAAACTGGCCCCAGGCCATGCTGAACATCAGCAGACCCCGGGTAGGATGTCTGGTCCTCAGCCCATGGCCTGTCCCCATCTCCTGCCACCCTGTCCCCAGCTCTATCCTGTACCAGCAGGGACCCTGTACACTGCACGTGGAAATGCCAGTGTGCCTGTCCAAGCTCCGTCCACACCACCCTCCTGTCAAGCAACGGCCACCCCCTGGTCACCCCTCCATCCTGGGGAGTGTCTGAAGCCTGGGGGTGGGGCACACCTGGGAAGAGGCCTGTGTGGGCCCTGATACAGGCTCCAGGTCAGCACATCCCTGGCTCTGTGGACTCCTCACCCATGAGCTGGCCAGAGCTGGAGGAGGGCTGGGTGGGGCCTTATGAAGCCCTGGGTCCAGGACAGGGTCCCAGCTGCCCATCTCTGAGAATGGCCCTGCAGATCATGCCCCCAGTGTTCCCCACCTCCCACCTTTCAGCCTCTTCCTTTGTTTGCAAAGCCAAGAGGGCTTCCTGCCTTCGGCTGCCTGGTAACTCTCACCCCTCCTGGACTCACGTGTGTAGGTGGGTGTAGGCACGGTGGGCTTTCCCTAGAGGTTTAGACAAGGGCAGGGGAATTCAGGAGAGAGAAAGCCCAGCTGTTTGGCAGCAGCTTGGCATCTTCTGCTCTGTGAGGGGCTCTCTGGGGTCTGTGGTCACACACGCTGTACATCCCAGGATGGCCGAGCACAGAGATGCCCTGTGGTCTCAGGGATACAGAAGGGAAATTGCATCCACCTGGGCTCTGACACCCCCTCTGATGGAAACCAGTCCCTGAAGGGCCCAGGTCTGTGCTGCCTGCTGCTTTGTCACTCCTTGTCGAGCCTCCTGTGTTGGAGGAAGGCGGGGTAAGCAGCTGGGCAGCACGGGTGGCAGGCGGCCTGAAATTGATCCTGCTACGTTTTGAAAGCTGTTGGGAATGTTGGGTCAGGGTTCCATCCTCACCCATAAGCAGCTGGTTGGTGAAGAGGCTGCTAGTGGGAACTTAGATGCCTGGGATTTCTGCACAGCTAGGTCAGTGGCCTCTCTTGCCCGGCCATGCTAAAGGCAAGGAAGGCAGTGACTTGCTAAGGGGCAGCTGTGTGCACAGAGAAACTTGCAAAGCATGTAGGTGCAGAGAGGACAGGCGTCTGCCAAAAGATGCAGAGAGCTCAGAGTCTAAGGTCCAGAAAGGAGCCCCGTCCTGTCCTTGGGTCCACAAGAGATCCCTGTGACCTTGAAATAAAGTACCTTTACCTAGCAGAGCTTGAGTGTGTATGGCCGACGGGCCACACGCCCTCATCCATAGCACTGCAGTGACATCAACAATGGCATTGCTTTGCCTCATGGTCTTCTCCAGCCTCCAGAGTTCACTTTGCCCCGAGGGCAGGCCAGAAGTGCATGCCAAGGAATTAGAGGCATGGGCACCCCGGTTCCCTCGCTTCTCTGGGAGATCTCTGGGGCATGTATTCCACACTGGCTCCAGGGTTCCAAGTTTGATTAAATGGCTCAGTAACATATTCTGCATTGGCTTTCTGCCTGTCCCTGTCTGCTCCCCACTCCCCTACCGACATTTCCTGAGTTCACCTCTTAAATAAGTATTGCTCTTGAATCCCTGTCTTAGGATCTGAAGCTGGGAGATCCCACCTGAGATGGCCAGAAGGAGTTTTGAAAGCAGCAGGAGACCCTCAATCCCCCACCGCACGTCTTTCTGGGTACCTCCTGTGGAAATGAGCACCAGGTACCTTGAGCCACCAGCTCCCTTGCCACATGAAGAGGCTCAGCCCTCTGCACTGCACCCCCCCCCCACTGTGATGTCAGTTCAGCAGAGGCACCTACCTCCAGAGTACATGTCAAATGTGCTCTGACTCAGCACTGCTCCTGTGGTTCCTAGGGGTTAAGAGGAGAACGATTATCCCCTGTAACACGTGTCCTTCTGCTGAAAATGGCTAATCCGTAGTCTAAGATCCAAAAACAATAAGAATCTAATGAAATCAGGCCCTACAGAGGGCATGCAGGACTCAAGTAGGGATGGCTGGGCTCATCTGAGAGGTTCAAGAATATAATGGCTGAGGGTGTCTCTGGAATCGAATTGAGTCTACCCAGTCTGAGTCTGTGCTCTGTCCTACCACTTCCTAACGCAGGACTTAGCATTTTGACCCCAATTTTTGCATCTGTACAATGGGTTGTGGGAACAAAATGAGATACATTTGAAATATCAATAGCAGTCATACAAGATGAATTTTAGCTGCAAAATCAAAATCAAAATGACAATCGTCATCATCATTCCCACCTAAACAGAAAATCTACAACTGGAGTCCTCTAACTCTTGAAGGCAAAGGGATTTGTGTTGGGCTAAGCAGTACTCAGCTTCCCAGGGTCCAGTAACCTGGATTGCGTTGGTGAGTTTTGTGGGAGGAGGCGGCCGAAGGCCAAGCCCTCCAGGGAACCGGGTCTTATGGAGGAACGTTGCAGTTCGCGCTCTTCGTCACTAGATGGCGGTGTTGCAGAGGGGATGGCAGCGCCGAGGCTTCCGGAGGAGAGTGGGGACCGGGCCTGGGAAGTGGCGCTGTCCAGGGTTGCAGGCTCGCCTAGCAGCACCTCCAGGATTCTAGGGAGCCACGGAGCGACCACGGAACGCTTCACCTGGGGCCCGTGGAAGGAGTCTATGAACCCATGACGCTGCTTTTATGATCGCGTGCGCTCATGTTTCTGCAATTGGAGCGTGGTGGGGGTGGGGGTCGGGGTAGCAGCCAGCATAGCTTGAAGATCCTGAGGAATCTGCCCACTAAAGGTTAAAGACTATTGGACCCTTAGCAATCCTTGTGTTGTTCTGGGTCGTGCAGATGAGGACCCTGAGCCCCTGACGTGATTTGTTGGGGTTCCCCATAGCTGGCATACACAGCACGTATGTATACAGTAGGTGCTGTATGCATGGTTGAGACGTTTCTAGTCTAGGGAGGTAGTTCAGCTGAATGACTAAGACCTGGAGTTAACTCAATCCAGGTTCAAATGTAGGTGGTTTTCTAGGCTGTGAGACCTTGCTTAACCTTTTTTTTTTTTTTTTTTTTTTTTTTTTTGAGACAGGGTCTCTCTCTTGCCCAGGCTGGAGTGCAGTCGTGTAAGCTTGGCTCACTACAGCCTCGACCTCTCAGGCTCAAGCAATCCTCCCACTTCTGCCTCCTGAGTAGCTGGGACTACAGGCGTGCACCATCACACCCAGATAAATTTTAAAATTTTTTGTAGAGAAGGAGGCGGGTTGTGGGGTTCACCTTTACTCAGGCTGGTTTTGAACTCCTGAGCTCAAGCAGTCCGCCCGCCTCTGCCTCTCAAAGTGCTGGGATTACCGGCATGACCCACTGCACCCAGCCTGCTTAACCTCTTTCGGCCTTGGTTTCTTACCTGGGAAATGGGGATATTGAGCATAGCTCCATCCTGGCATGGTGATGGGCACAGTAAGGGCCCAATAAATGCTAGGGCTTATTGCCATTGATGGTTATTTTCATCCTTTTGGCTTTGTGAGAGGCAGGGAAAGAGGTCTAGTCTGGGGCCATCTCAATGGAGAATATTCAAAAAGCTTATCTCAGGTGGGGCCCATTTAGGGGAGAAACCCAGTAGATTTCATCCAGGTCAGTTGCAGCCTGAGCCGTTTCCTGCCCACTTCCACTGTGGGGTGAGGGCAGATGGGTGTGAGTCTTGATGTAAGCTGAAGCTCCTACCGTCTTCTGGGGTCTGGCACAAACACAAAAGACCAGCCTGGGCATGCCCTCCCTGCAGGAGGGAGCCGCCATCCCTGTAGCCACTTTGCTGAGGCTGGAGTGGAACAGGCCTGGGCCCTCCTCAAAACTGCAGAGGAGCGGCTCCACTCAGCCCTCCCGCCTCTCCCTGCCCCGGCCCTTCCTGGGCTCCTAGGAAGCTGGCCAGGGTGGTCCGCTGACTCCTGTCTGTCCAGGAACAGCCCCATCACTGCTCCAGGCCTCAGCTTCTCCCCCCCAGCAGGGTTTCTTGACAGAGCGGGAAAAGTCTTCCTTTGGAGCAAAGTGCAGGGGCTTGGGCCTGGCAAGGCCGGGGCTCCTATCCTACTCTGTCCATTCCTAAGCGTGCTTATGTGGTCCTGCCACACACAAGCTCAACAGGTTCCTTCCTGAGCATCCTTTACACTTTTCCCTGAGCTGCCCTGACCTTGGTCCCAGAAGTGGCCCTTACAGCCAGGGAATGGCCCTTGTTTTCTAAGAACAGAGTTCCGAGAGGAGGTCTTGGCTAGAACCAGACCACCTAGTCCTTACCTGACCCTGTTAAGTCCACTCCCTCCTGAAACATGTCCCTCCTTTAGGCTTGGCGGCCCTCTGGCCTCCGGTGTAAGTGTGTGTCCTGCAGGAGATGCTGGGTTATCAAGGCCATGGAGTCCCTTGTGGTTGCCCTGCCTCCAGCCCCGTTACTCCAAGCTGGAGGGAGGATTCTGGAATGCAGGGCTGGCCCCTCGTGCCCTGCTCAAAGCAGTTCCATGGCCCCCTACTGTTCTCGGCTTCCAGTCACACTTCTTAGCAGGATTGCCAGCTCCTTATCCTCCGGCCTTTTACTCTCCCCAGCCTCACCTCTCCATGTTGACCTGCAAACTTCTCTCCCTCCCTCTCCCTTCCTCCTCCCTGCACTGTGCCGCCTCTGCCTGGAAGGAGGCTTCCTTGCTTTTCTCCTGGCCAGCACCTACAATCTTTCAGGCCTCAGCTGGCCATCGCTTACCACTGGAAGCCTCCTCTGAGCTACCCGGGGTCCGTCCCTTGCTCTGCATTCCCGTAGCTGTGCTTCCTGCTCCTATCAGAGAGGCTTACCACATTGAGATTGTTTGTGAGCTTCACAGCTGAGCCAGGGCCTGTCTTTCTAGTTCGTGGCTGACTCCAGTGTCCTGTACAGGGCCTGGCCCACAGTTGCTGCTGCCTGCATTTGTTAAGTGAATGAATGAATGAATGAACGAATGAAAGTGTATACTCAGCACGCGATCTTGCACTGTCATTGGTTGTCCCCATGTCCTCATGTGTGTTGGTTTGAGTGGGGTGGCTTTGAGGAGGGAGTCATGTTTCATTCATGTTCCATAGCAGAACGGTGTCCTCCTGAGCCAGGAGCACGTGGCAGGGGCCTGGCTAGCACTGCGTTTCTACAGTGTTCCAGATCTTTGAGACCTTCCGTTCCCCCAGGCCAGCCACGCCCCCACCGTCCTGAGCTCTACCTGCCGCGAAGTAGGAGCTGAGCCACTGTTGGTTGAATGAACATGCTGCTACCCCCTACCCTCCCCAGCGCTGCATGGGAACTGTTGCGGGGATGGATCTGCAACTCACCGTTCACCAAGGCGATGTTCAGGCCTCTGCCAATGTTGTTTTTCACAGGACTCATGATCCTGAAGACAATGAAGAAGAAATATGACACTCATTCCTGAGCGTGGAATGAACACTCTGCTTCCCGACTGGGGAACTCGGAGAGGGCCCACAAGCAATGCAGAAGCGTCGGGAAACTCATAGAATAACTGGGGCCGTCTGTTTTCTCTTGAAAACTAGTGGTGGGCTGGAGTCTCTGAAGAGTTTCTCAAGGCATGTTGGACCAGAACAGCCTTCTCAGAGAAAAGGCGAGGTTCCTGCCTGGGCTTCTGAGGTGCTGGAGGCAGGGCCAGCCCACCCCCAGGCTGTGAGGCCTGGCTGCTGGGAAGAGGCCGAACCCTGAAGGTTGCCGGCACCCTGGGGTGTCAGTCCCCATGTGGCTCAGCTGTGTTCCTGCTGGCCCAGCATCCACACCCCTGTCTACAGGTGTGCCGCAGGAGAACTGTCTTTCTCTACACACAGGCCAGGTGGTTCCTGAGATTGACCTCTCTCTCCCAGGCTTGGACAAGCAGAGCATCCTGTGTCCCCAGCTACAATGACTGGCTGATATGGTTTGGCTGTGTCCCCACTCAAATCTCATCTTGAATTCCCACATGTTGTGGGAGGGACCTGGTGGGAGGTAATTGAATCATGGGGGCAAGTCTTTCCCATGCTGTTCTTGTGATAGTAAGTCTCACGGGACTTGATGGTGAGCTCTCTCTTGCCTGCTGCCATTCATGTAAGATGTGACTTGCTCCTCCTTTGCCTTCCACCATGATTGTGAGGCTTCCCCAGCCACGTGGAACTGTGAGTCCACGAAACTCTTTTTCCTGTTTAAATTACCTAGTCTCGGGTCTTTATCAGCAGTGTGAAATCAGACTAATACACTGGGCTAGGCATGGTCATGTGAACCGGGCCAGTCAATGAAACACAGGCTTGGGACTTTTGCAGGGATAATTTAGACAGGAAGGCTCTTTTCCCATTAGGGTGCTAGGCTGGGCTAATATGTCAAACCAGCTGGTGGTCTCTCTCCTTAACCACATGGAGAAATCCGTTGCAAGTAGAAAAGAAAGCAAAGCTATTAGGCAATGGATGGTAGAGCTGAAGATGGGGTGAGAGACAGCCCTGACGACATGATTTGAATCCCTGGATCCAACTGGTCCTGAAGTCTGCCTACCACCTCTGGTCTTTTAGGTATGTGAACCCTTCAGTTCCTTGTTTTCCCTGAACAAACGGTGGTTAGGTTCAGAATCCTGGCTTAAACACCCATCTCTGAGTTCTTTCATAGAATGCACTTGGTGTCCTGGGGCCTTTACTATCTAAGTTGGATGATGGGTACACAGCCTTTCTCCCGTACTGGGGTGGAAGCCCTGGTGCCTGCTACGTCTGGGCTTTGATGCCTGGGTCAGGATCTTGAACCTTCTTTGCAGGCATCTCCTTTCACGGGAAGCCCAGCAACTTGGCTGTTAGACCTGAGGTCACATCCTGGCCCTGCCACTGGACAGGTGACCCTGTCTGCACCCCACTGCCCTCATCTTTACAATAGGGATTATAGCCCCACCTCCCGGGATGTTGGGGGAGTGAATGAGAAATACTGTGACGCACTTGGCAAGGTGCTGGCAGATGCGGGAGCTGTTTGAATTCTTGTTATTTGTGGCTCACACACCCAGAGTAAAAGGGAAGCTGTGGGCTGGTCTCACAGGCCAGCTCCTGCAGCCTCGGAATTTTAAAAATGAATAAATAAAAGAATAAAGTAAAATAAAATAAACATAGTTTCCCCTCAGGTACTTACATGTGGTTTTCAAAGCACATAGTAGGGCCCACGACGTTGGCAGCCCCGCTGCCGATTTTAAACGCAAAGTGGTTGGCTGGGCAGGGCTTGATGAGGCCACATTTGTGCTTCGCGACCTCTGGGGAGGAAACAGACCAGCCTTGGTGGGCAGCAGCTCAGGAGGTGCTTGTGCGAGGAAGAGGGGAGGGCCAGGGCTAGGGCCAGGGAGCAGCTTGGAACGAAGCTCAGAGCCTCTTTCTCGGGGAGCCTTTGCTGACTGCAAGTCTGGGAGATGTGCCCTTCTATGCTCCACAGTGCCCCCAACAGCCCCCACCAGAGCACACAGGACCAGCCCAGAATTAATTTTTGGGCTTCTCATCATAGCTCCAGCCCCAGTAGAGCACCCTGGGTAAACATAACCAGAGTAAACCTGAGTCACCATGACGAAGGGACTCTCCTGAAAACCTCTCATTTGGGCCATGGCAGCCTTCTGAGTCCCCAGAGCCCCCTGTTGAGAACTCCCAGGGGCCCTGGTGGGGTGGGTTGGAGCATATTTCTCTAGCCACGTTCCCTTGGGCAAGTCCTCAGCATCCTTGCACCTCATCTTATCTGCAAAATGGAACATCTGTGGTGCCTCCCGCACCGGGTTCTTGTGAGGAATACATGAGTGTGGTTTAATGCTCAGTACACGCTGGCTATTCTTCTTCTCATCATTCATTCATTTATCACTCATTTCCTGAGTATCTACTATGTGCCTAACGCTGGGATACAACAGAGAACAGGCAGGTGGTTCTGCTTCTCCCACTGGGAGCTTAGCATGGTGTTGGGAGCCCACTGGACACTCAGTAAATGGCACCTCTGGTGATGTTGTCTGTTTCTAAGACCTGTATCTTCTCCATGCAGCCTTCACAGGGCAAACTGGGGAGCTTCGTGACTGGGGGAGATGCTGGTGGGGCCTCAAGATGTGGCTGGGCAGCTGAGCCCTCAACGTGCTCTTTGAGAGAGGGGACGACATCCACACTTGCAGCCTGGCACGTTCTAATTCATCCTAATGTGTGCTTTTTAGCACCAGCTGACAGTTTGGAAGGCAGCATTTGGGAGGATTGGGTAAACATGGATTTGGAGAATGCTTACCTGCAAAGGGACAGCGGGGGCTGGGCAGCCTTTCCCTCCCCAGCCCCTGTGCCAGGCGTCTGGCCAAGGTCTGCCGGCGTGTGCTTTGGAGCAAAGCTGCAGGTTCCTTAAGGAAGCTCGCACACGCCAAGGCCTTGATGTATGCAGGGCACTGGGGCCAGGATCTTATGTTTATGATCTTGTTGACTCATCCCGATAACTCCTGTGCCTGGCACATAGGAGGCGCTGGATAGTCTTCACGCATCACATGTATAGCATTTGGGCCAGGATGCACCTGAAGCCGGAAGGGACCATGTGGTTTCCAGGGCCCTCCCTGGTCTACTGGAGGGGCACAACCACTGGTACCAGGCTTGGCGAGCACCTTGGAGTAGGTAAATGTGCCCTTTCTAGGAGCAAATGCAGCCCACACCAGGGAACCCTGCTGGCTTTGGTTCCCTCTGCTGAACAGGCAACCCTGAGGATCTGAGAGGAAATGCCTGTCCAGGGCTCCCCTTCCTTGTTTCAGCACATACACCTGCTGGGTGGGACTGACCTCAAACCACAACATTGTCATTCAGAGAGTGGGCAGGGGCAGAGGCATCTGTGAAGGGCTGTTCAGGAGAGAGTGGGCATCTAAGCCTGTGGCTTAGGGGAGAGAGGGCTGGGCTGGGAGTGGACCAGCTCCCCTTCTCCTCCTGGGCAGGATCCCTGTGAAGGGGCTCACCCCCACCTTGGGACTGGCTGAGGAGCAATGCTGGGGAGGGAAGCCAGGGCACGGCTCTTGGTCTCCTACAGCCTTGGGGCCCCACCTCCAGTCACATGTGCCTTTCACCCAGAGGGTCTCACCTATGCAGGGAGATCATTCCCAGCCCTGGGGACCACTTCTGGAGTTTGCCCACAGCCTAATCAATTGCAGCTAAGTCTGCTAAACCCGATGTCAACAGGCTGGCTTAAGCAGGCTTTTCCGGAATTGATTTTCTGACCATCCAGCCTTCATAGTCACGCTGCTAGATGAAGGGAGATGAGGCCAAGGAGGCCTCAGCCTCTGGGAGGCAGGAGGTTGCTCTCTGGGTTCTGGCTTAGAAGTCTGCTCCCATCAGCTGCCTCGGTCCCTGAGGCCCGACCCCTGTGGGAACCCTTCTGCTGTTGCTCAGGGCATGGAGCTGGTGTGCTACTAAGCGCGCTGGGGCAGCGGTGCATCCAGGAAACAGGCTGCTCTTTCATTTATCTGCTCTGTGGCTTGGCAGAAACTGCTCCCTTTATCTTTGCCATCTGTGAAATCAGGGAGTTGGTTTAGATCAGGGTTGTCAAACAGCTTTCCTCTTAAATGTCAATGTGGACTTCCTGTTAAAGACTTAATAATAAAGCTCTCAAGGCTGCCTATGTGGTTGGAGGGAAAGAATGCTGGGATTGATTGGTGATGTCTGCCATGGGAGCAGGCAGGGTGGAAGGCGGCATGTGTGCTTGAATTTGCCGTCCCCCTAGCAGGTGATGTCTAAGTGTTTGATAGCAACAAGATGCTGTGACACTCTGGGTCCACTTCCGAATATGACTACGGAGGCATCAGGGAGCGAGGGTAAAGGGTGTGGGGTGAATGATTTGTGCTACTTCATATTGTCTTTGCTTTCTGTCATCTCGCAATGTACTGGGGCACCCATGCCCTTCTTAGTCAGGTAAAATCCTATTTTGGGAGCCACAGCTCTCTTCAGAGTTACCACCATGTTGAGAAGGAAATGGAGAGGGCCTGGAGGTGTTGCCTCTTGCAAACGGGTTGAGAGGGTGGGCTCTGGAATAGATGGTTGAGGGGATTTGACTCCTGCCTTACGGCTTACAGCTGTATGATCTTGGCCAAGAGATTTTGCTACTTGGTGCCTTAGTTTCCTTACCTATAAAAGGGGCTAATTATAGCACCAACATAGGGTTGTATGTAGGATTGCATGGGATGCTTGTGACGTTCTGAATCCAGTGTCTGGCAAGCAACAGGCACACAATCATCATTACTATTGCCATCACAGCAGCTCTCCCTCTGCTTCTCTGTCCCTGACTCTCTAGTCAAGGCCTTCACTGGAGCGTTCTTGCCTCTAGGCCTTTGCAGAGAGGTCACCACCTTCCCTGATCTGCCCATTGGAAGGGGCTGCCCCTCCTGGAACCAAGAGCCCTTTCTCCACTTCTCTTGGCAAGTCTGACATTTCTACCCCAACAGACAATCAGCATCCACTTCTGTTTGTCTCTGGAGTGCCTGTAGTGCCTGACATGGTCTCTGGCACTTTGTCGCAGGAACCCTGAGCCAAGCCTGGGGTCACTGCAATAGGGTTAGGGAGCACTGGCCTGGCCCTTGGGCTCCCAGCTGTGTGGGGTTGTTAGAGAGGGGAGGCAGACACAGGGTGTGGTCCAGACTGCAGCAGGGAGACTGGAGAAGGGGCAGAGTTGAACTGTGTCCCTACAGTCCAAATGGCTGAGAGGGGGCCAACCCTGCCACAGGGCTTAGGGGCTTCAGAAGGCACCATTGGGACATGGGAGGAGAGGATCAGGAAGAATCTGGAAGCCCAGGTTTCTCTGGGAAACTGCAGGACTTGGAGCAGGGGCCCTGGGCCTTCTTGCCCTAGAACAAATGGGAACAGGAGGTGAGTGGATGAGGTGGGAGGAGGTGTGGAGCTGCACAGATACTCACGGGTCTCCTTGGTGGACGAGCCTGTTGGAGAGAAGACAGAATCTGGTTAGAGGAAAAGCACTTCAGACACCCCTGCAGGATGGGGGTTGGGGGCTGGGGGCTGGGGGCTGGGGAGTGGGAAGACGGGGCTTTAAATTGGCACTATTGGAACGAACTAAAAGTCCTTTGCCACTGTCACCCCTTCGCACACATGTACATACACACAGCACACATATACACAGATACACATGTGTATATGCACACACACATGCACGCAGATATATGTGACACTCATGTATGCATACAGACACACATATGTGCACACACAGACATGAGTATACTCACACATCCTGACATGCAGACATACATACACCTGTGTGCATATATACACATACACATGTATAAGACACACACACGACTCACCCTTGGTTAAAAAGAAGCTGGGCTCTTTGAAACCCATTGGAGTTTATGTCCTAGCTCCTCATATATGGCCTCATGAGACGTTTAACCTCCCTGGGCCTCAGTTTCCTTGACGGCACATGGAGACCATCAGAGCCACCCTCACAGGGCTATGGAGGGGGCCCAGTGATATCACTCCGTGAGGGCCAAGCCCAGTGCCTGGCTCCTGGGCCCCAGTGAAGGGTAGAGCTGTCCTGCTGTGGGTGTCTGGCCCGTATCGGGGCATCTCTTTCCCGACTGCCTGCAGTGTGCACTGTCTGCACTGGCTCTAGGGCCCCCGGCTTCTTCCTGACATCTTATTCCATGCCCTGCTTGTTTCTGTGGTTCTACGTCGTATCTGCCACCACAGCAGCAGATAGAGGCGCCTGGAGGACAGGGCCTCCACAGGAAGCAGAAGTGCTAGCGGAAGAAGCTCTCCTTTTTTGGGGGAACCCCCAACACTTACACACTTTCCGTTTACTTACACACTCCGTTTATTCCAGGGCCTGTCCATCCAGGAATGTTCCCATCCCTTGCCTCCAAGGCCCCAGGAGTGGCATGAGACCCAAGCTAGGCCAATCACAGTGTTACATTCCTCTGGAGACGACCCCTTCCCCACTTCCCTATGTTGATATATAGCTGGGGGTGGAGAGAGGGAGAAAGAGAAAGAGCCAGTGGAGAAGATGAGCATCAGGGAGGAGCCATCGTGCCTGCCTTAGAGAGAAAGCTGCCCATGGAACGAGGCCCTAACCCGCTGGGGTCAAGTAGCAACAGCAGGGGATAGAGAGATGGGAGGCTGGCTCTGGGGCCCGTCTCCTTCGTGGGAGACTCCTGGATTCAGCCACACCTGAGGCCACGAGACGCCCATAGTGGACCATCAAGACATCATGTTTTGTTGAAACCAGTTAGAGTTGAGTTGGTGACTCTCACCTGAAAGAACCCTGCCTCACTTTCCAGGCACAGGGGTTCTTAATCTGGTTTCTGTGCCATGGAGCCCTTTGGTGGTTTGGAAAAGCCCATGAACTCCCCTCAGAATAAAATTATTCTCACTTCCCTTGAGACACTTATCACTTTCTACTCCAACAGACTGTGTTATTAAATGCATAAAGAAAAACAGATTGGAAACCAATTCTGCATCAATACAGTGGCAAAACCCAAAACCAAATTTGTGCTGTAGTAATATATGTGCTTCTGTATCAGTACATTAAATTATAAAACGAGGGTATGTGTGCCCAGGTTAGGAACCTCTGAGGTAAATGAAAATTACCCCCTCAGTGCTGAGACACAAGTAGCTTTTCCTGGCCATCATTCCCACTGGTTACATTTCTTGCCACTGTAAACATTTCTTGAGACTCTGCCTCATGTTAATGCACTTCCATTCTTCTACATGCTGTAATCAAGTCTGTTTGTTTCTCTGAGTCAGACCATCAGCAGGGCCATGTGTTCCTCATTTCAGGGTCCCTGGAGCCCAACACAGGGTTCAAAACCCAGTAGTCACTTGATGATGGTTGATTGGAGGTGTTGACTTGTCAAACCCCAGGTAGTTGAGTACTGAGAGAGAAATGATTACTGGAGTCTCTTTTCAATAACTGCCCCTCTCCCACCTCCGGCTGGGGCCCTCTTCTCTAGAGGACACCCCTGAGCCTCCCCTGGGTCCCTCACCTCTGAAGCCACTAGTGCAGCCACGTCACTGTCTAGTTTGTAAAAGCAGTGACCTGCTTTTACATTCATCCCTTCTCCACCAACCCACCCATCTACTCATCCCTCCATCTACCCATCCAACCATCTATTTATCTATCCACCCACCCACGCAGCCATTCTTCACTCATCCATCCATTTATCCATCTCTCCATCTACCCATCCATCCATCTACTCATTCTTCCATCCACCCACCCATTTATCCATCCATTCATCTGGTTTTTTTTCCCACTCATCAAATGTTTACTAGAGACACATTTGCTCTGTGCCAGGTGCCAGAGAGGTGGATGCACACAAAATAAAATCCTTGTCTTCAGGAAGCTCACATTCTAGGGGGTGGGGGCAGGCAATAACCAACGAAACATAAAAACGATAATGACAGATAATCATGGTGTTCTGAAGGAAAAAAGCTGACATGAGAGAAGCTAAGCTAGCAGGAAGGGGTGCAACCTTAGCTGGGCAACCTTAGCTGAGCCTCAAAGGCTGAGAAGGAGCCAGGTGGGAGGGCGGGTAGTGGGTGGGGGGATCTGCATGAAGAGATCCAGGGAGAGGGAGCAGCAGGTGCAGGTGAAGACACTCAATACCTGACTTTCTTTCTTCCTTTCCTCCCACCTCCCTTCCTTCTGTTCTTCCTCCCTCTGTCCTTCCTCCTTTCTTTCCTTCCTTCTTGGGGTCGCCTCTCCAAAGTGGTCCTTGATGTGGGCACATGTGTTGCCCAGGGCCTTGCAATGCATCTCTGCTCCCCATGGACTCCACCCTTCCTGGAAGCCTGGGGATCCCCCCCTCTCCCTGCTATGGCTGGGCTCCCAAAGGCAGGTGCACAGCTTGTCCTGGGTCGCCTAGGGATGGAGGGAAGAATATGTCTTCGGCCCCCAGGTCTGGTCTGCAGTTCCTGCCCCCAGCAGTGAGCCCCACTCACCCAGCCAGCGCGGCAGACGGATGGTTTTCATGCTGAAGCTCATGTAGTTTCGAATAATGATCCACGTGGTGACCGTGGCAAAGATGAGGGCCAGGACACGAAGCACACCTGCCAAGCAAGGGGATGCTGCCAGCAGACCACAGAGCCAGAACACATGGCAAGACCACATGTGAGTCCTTCCCGGATCCCCATGCTATGGGCTCGGACCGCATCCATGCTGGGGACCAGACCATGAGGCCATGTGGTAAGACCACGTGTGAATCTGTGCAGTGGTTAGATGGTGAGATTGTGCTGCCAGGTCATGTGGTAACATTCCCCCAAGTGGGTTTCTTGGGAGACAAAGTTAAAGATGTACCTGCCTGGGCTCCACTTAGCCCTCCAGAGAGAGAGAATGTCTAGGAATGAGGCCAGCACTCTGGACCTTTCTCTAGCCCCTTAAGGGGAGGCCTGAGAATTGCAGTGGGAGGGCAGGACTCTGGGAGGGATCCCTGGAACAGGAGTCAGGAAGGCTGTGGCCAGTGCTCAGGGCAGCTGGCAGTGCTGTGTGACTCTGAGCAGGAGCTCAGCCTCTCTGAGTTGGAGTCCCTCAGGCACAGAGGTAACGCCCTTGCCCCTGAACTTCTTGGCAGGGATGCTGTAGTTGTCAAAAGTACGCAGCCTCCAGGGTGGCTTGGGGGTGGGGCTCCCCTCCCACAGTTTCCATCAGTTCTCCCTCAAGGCCTCCACAAATAACCGTAACCTGGAGTTGCCGTGCAGCTTCTAGATAAGCCACAGCTCCCTGGCCTCTGCCCCACGGCCAGAATGCTTTCTGATTCCCTCATGTGATTACAACCCCACACATGGGATGAGCCATCTGGGGTTCCCTTTCCTTACAGGGACCAGAAAGTGGGCACCATTTCACATCCCTGCTGCTTTCTGAATCAGATCCACCCATCCTGCTCTGACCCTCGAGGCACAGGCCCAGCTGTGGCACCCCTCCCTGTGACCTTCCTGTCAGCATCTCCCCTGCTCCTCAGCCTGAATTCAGCTCTAGAGCCTTGAACTAGTCTCTGACTACTCAGGTTGGGGAGAAGGGCCGCTGGGTCCTGTGGGGTGGGATGCAGCTCTGTGGGTATCCCTGGTCTTCAATGGCACAGCATGGCTCTGGGCACCCAGAATTCTTCTTGGGTATCAGCTCATGTTCACACAACACTCAATTTTGTGCCAGGCACTGTGTGAGCAACTTTTGAATACGTCATCTTGGTTCATTCTCTGAGTAACCCTGTGTGCTGGGTACTATTGATTATTCCCATTTTACAGATGAGGAAACAGAGGCAGTCACTTCCCCACTGTCACTTGGCTAGTAAGTGTCAAAAGTGGGGTTCGAACCCAGAGAAGTAAGCTGACTTCAAAACCCTCTGCCCCTGACTCCTTACGGTGATTCTGGAATGTAAATGAGGCAGGTGCATTTCCTGTTTGCTGCCTCAGTTTCCCTATGTATACAAAGGGGCTACAGTATAAGGGTGTGGACTGGAAGGCCTTTGCCTTTCTTGTGCCCAGCACTATGCTATAAAAATTCTAGCATAGCTCTCCTTGAGGTAAATATTTTGTCTTTAATTTCCAACCAGGCCAAGTGTGTCCAAGATGGGCACTGTCAATGATCCCAGCCAGGTAGGGCCACTGTGCAAAAGTTCCTCCTGCCCTTCAGCCTAGAGACAGGAAGTCACCTCTTCTACTCTTCCGGGCTCCCCTGGATTGCTTTCCTTCTGGAATTCTGGCCTAACCATTTGAGAATAGATACAGCCAAATCACTGTGAGCCCAGGACGGGTGGACATGGCTGACAGAAAAATGACTCCAAAAGCAATTCCAGAGCCTACCTGATGCTCGCATCTTGTCCAGGTGAAGGGTGGCGTGGGGTCAGCTTTCACCTAAGGAGAGAAGAAAATCCAATTGGAAACTGGCATCAGGTCTGCAAGTGACCAAGCTTGAAGATGAGGGACAGGCACCTGTAACTATGGAGAACATAATTCTTTCAGTTGGGTTCCTCACAACCTGCCATATGGACAGGAGGGCAATTTTCCTCCTTTTCTGTCTGCCTCCACCTCTCCTTCACTCTTGCCCCTGGAATTTTATATTCAATTCACCATGTTTTTTTGAAGTGCAGAGATAAGAATGTAGAGGAAGGGGTAGTCTGTAAGCCACTGTTTTTTGGAAGATTTGATTTATTCACTTATCCATCTAGCCATTTGTTCATCCATCTGTTCACTCATCCATCCATCAGTCTGTCAGTTGATTTATCCATCCATCCATCCAGCCAGCCAGCCAGCCATTCGTCTATCCTCTATCCATTCATTTTGCCACCCATCTATCTATCCTTTATCTACCTGTCCATCTATCCTTCCACCCATCTATGTGGCCCTCCTTCCCTTCCTTCCTTCCTACAGCCAGCCAAAAGATGTTGAGCTAGGTAGCTGCAGTGAAACCATCAGGGAGCAGAAGTCCAAGCTATCTTTGCTTATTGTGTGGAAATAAACAGTAATCAGAACTCACATATTACAGGTGACTTTGTGCCAGGTGCCATCTATGCATTATCACAACCCCCATGCTAGGGAATAGTAAGCAAGACCCACCATGGCTAAGCATGGGGTTATTCAGCTTGCAGGGGTAAGAGTCAGAATTTGGATGCAGGTTTCCAGCTGCTAACACCCCCTGATACCCCTCTTCCCTTGCCCCACTGGGGTCTCAGTGCCAAGAATTTTTATCTCAGAGGAGGGTTGAAGTCCAAGTCTCCTCCCTTATTCAGTTCTGGGCAGGGCAGGGTCATCCTTCTCTCCATCTCTCCCCTGTGTCACCTCCCAGTTGCTGGGCAGTTACCAGTAATTTGCAGCTTTGAAACCCCAGGAGGTCTGTGGAGGCTTAGGGGACAGAAGGCAGGGTTGGAGGTCTTTGGTCTCAGACTTCCCACACCAGCTCCAAGGTGGCAGATAACCTTCTCTGACTGCAGTGACCTCTCCCACAATGCTTCTTGCCCCCTCTCCACCCCAGAATCTTCTTTATCCTAAAAATCCAACTCAACAGATATGATCTCCAAAGTCCAACTGCTGAAGGCTCTGACCTGAGACAAGAGACAGCGCTCATGCCTGGCACAGCCCCCAACACCCTCTTCAAGCTTGGGCAAGTCTATTCGCCTCCTCGGCCCTCCCCGTATGTACACTGAGAGGTGCTTGGGCTGGACCAGTCCTTGATGTTTAAGCAACAATAACAGCAACAGCAACAGCAAAACCACATCTCCTCTTGTGAATTGGAACAGTCCTCCCGCCGCCCTGATCTTACTCTAGAGACTACCAGTGAAAAAACCAAGCTGTCACCTGGCTCCACCCACAGAAAGATTGTGGAACTTTAACTTCCTGAAATTCCGATTACCAGCATTTTGTTTCCAGATTTAAAAAAGTATATTGTGATCATGACTGTGCTTCCGATGCGACCTACAGTCCAGGAGCCTAGGTCCCCAGATGACACTCAAAAGACATTTGGGAGGAACCCCATGTTGGAGGAGCCAGGAGAGTCAGTGGCTGGACAGGATGAAAGGGCAAGGACACGGTCAGATAGATGGGGTTGGATGGACAGACAGAGATGAATATTCACAGAGGCTGTGCACAGAGCCATTCCAGTCTGGGATAGAGATGAAGGGGGAGAGGGAGAGAGAGAGAGGGAGAGGAAGAGGGAGAGCGAGACAGAGAAGGAGAAGAGGGAGACAGAACAAGTACTTTTGATATGTGCACACAGAGATTCAGAGAGAAACACTCAGAGACAGAGATAGGGACAGAGACAGAGGATATGGGACACACACCTGGGCAAGGGGCTACCCTCTCGCTGTCCTGTCTGTGCTGAGCAGGAAATCTGGCTTCAGGGCAGTGGGGTGGAGAGGAGCAGGGGCCAGCGGCCAGTCCCAGATGGGCTGTGAGGGCTCCCCAGGCTGCTCTTCCTCTGGGCTGAGTCCCTGGCTGCCCACCCAGTACCTGCAGGGCTCCTTGGTGTCCTGAGTGTCCAATCTGCTTGTCCTGGCAGCCTGTGGGTGCTCTGGAGCTGGGGTCCAGGACTGGCCTGCTGGGGTGGGGAGCGGGAAAGACACCCGGGGCAGGTGGAGCAAGAATCCCTCTGTAGCCACTCAAACCCAAAACAGTGTGTTTTCTCCTTCTTCCTGTTGGAGATTGTCCCAACCTGTTATTCAGGTTACAAAGTTGTTCAGCAAAGGAATGAGGAGAAACGTTCTATTGCCCTGGATGCCTACTTAGCCAGTGTGGGTAAGTTGGCTTCGGGTGTTGTGGCAGTGGAAGGGGAGGGGCCAGGACTGGGGACAAGGTGGGGTTGGTGAAGGCATGAGTCACTGCAAGCCACCCCATTCCTCCCATTATCTGTCCTCGCTGTCCTTGGACCTCTCCCTCTGCCCTGCCCTTCCCCACGGCTCCCTTCTCATTTCTGGCTGCAGGTCAGCCGTGTGCATGAGCCCCAAGCCTCTCTTCGATGGCAGGCCTAAAATGCAGGGCATTGAGGAAGTGCTCGATGAACATTTGGAAGCTGAATGAACTGAATTCTTGCATCATCCTGGAAGGTTAGAATGATTAAACCACCAGATAGAGAAGGAACCTGAAGTTCAGGAAGGGCAAGTAACTTGTCTAAGGCCACACAGCCAGTTGTGGAGTTCATTTCTGAAGCATTCTCTGAGCATCCCTGGGAAGATCGGGGGAGACATGGCTGTAAGCAAGACAAGCTCTGGAGCAGCCCAGGCCTCTGCACTTTCGAGTCCCTCTGTCTCAACACGGTTCTCCTACTTCTTTGTCTGGAGTACTCCTACTCGTCCTTCAGGTCTCAGTGAAGAAATCACTTCTGGGAAGGCTTCCCTGAGCCTTTCAGTCAACTTTCAACACCCACCTGTGGTCCTAGATGGGAGCACTTCCATCCATCATGGCAGCCCACCCTGTCATAAAGGGCTGGCCAATCAGAGCTTTGCAAGTTCCCTGTCGTTGGTTCAGGAGTGAGCATGTGGCCCAAGCAAGGCCAACCGGACCTTTCCCTGGAATTGATGTAAGGGAAACTGAGGAGAGCGAGGCACTCTTCTCCCTGGAGGTGCTAAGCTAGATGCGATAAGTCTGGGGCTACTGGAGTCCCGTCCTCAACCACTACGGTGCCTTCCTCCGGTGGTAGACATGTCCTGCCAGCAGATGCACACACAGGGGCAGAGCAGCTGGGGCAGTGCATGGGATCTTGGTCTTAAAATCATCAGGCAGTGAAAGGCTGTGGTATTGGGAAAAGAGGGTGGATGTTTGGATCAGACAGACCTGGATTAGCCACTTACTAGTTGTGTATTTTTTCGCACATCTCTCCAGCTTCGATTTCCTCCTTTGTGAAAGGAAGGTGATGCTATCTACCTGTCCCGGAAGGGGGTTTGCCTGCCTGGCAGCATCCACCTGTCTCTTCTCTGTTGACAGGCCCCATTCACTCTGCTGCTTCTCGCTAGCGCACCTCCAGGGCAGGATTCCTATACGGATGTTTGTTCTTTCTGCAGACCCAAAACGCCATCACAGTCTGCTGGTCTGTGACATTTCTTAAAGGCCCTACAGAAGCAGGGATGTCAGCTCTTCCTGTTGCCTGCGGCCCTCTGTACACAGAGCCTTTCATCTCAACCATGACCTGTCCGAGAGCCAGGGTGAACAGAGAAAGGGAGGCTGTCTCTCCAAGCTGGGAGGGTGGAGCGGTGCACCGTGGTGGAGAAGTAAGTGGCTTTTTTTCCTGCTTAAATCCTGGCTCCTGGCCTTTCCCTGGCTTTCTGTGAAGCTCTCTGTGAAGGCATCTTGTTAGCCTTCACAGTCAGTGCTGATGTTGAGGCCAGCTTCCCCTCCAGGCAGTGGCTTTGGAAGGCCTTCTTCATCCAAGGCCAGATGCTACCACCAAGGCACATAGTAGGTGTGCAGTAAATGTTGTTGGAAGGAAGGAAGTGGATTTCCATTTGGGAAAGAAAACTGGGAGGTAAAAAGCTACAGTAGATGCTTTTCCCTCTCTCTAAATGACTTTTTTTCATCTCATTCTTAACATTTTTCTCCAAAGTAGAAGTCTGCCCAGAAGACATGCTCAGACTTTAGAACCCAACCAGCCTTTTCTGGAAATTCGGGTCTGGCTATTTTCCTCATTATCTGGAGAAATTCTGCAGACAAGAGTGTGGTCACCAGGGGAAGAGGGGTTCTATCTGTTCTTCCATGGACTTCTTTCTGTTCCGCTCATCTCTACCAGCAACACTGCTTGAGCAAGGATTCATTGCAGAGCGAATTCTGCGTGCACGAGTGTGGAAGATGGAAACTCCACAGACGTAGTGACAGGGTCTGAGGAAGACAGACCCCACAAGAACAAGACAAGACTGAGGTAGAGAGACAAACAGAATGAAAAAAAAAAAAAAAAAAAACAGAGACACAGAGACTGGAAGTGACTGGCATATTAACAGACACACAGGCACACATGTAGGCATGCATGCACGTGAGCCAGGGCACCACCATGCATCCTGCCCTGCACCAGGGGGTGTGCAGCTCTGCCCAGACCCAGTTGCCCCTTGATGTGAGCCACCCATCACCCCCAAAACCCATCCGCAATTGTGGCCCAGGCCTGTGTGAAGTAATCAAAGTAACCAGAGGTTCCCTTTCATCCTCTAAATGGTCCTTCTTGTAAACGCCCAGAATTTATGGGCAACTATTGATCATGTCACCCATACAGAGGGGGAGATAAACAGCGAATAAATCCATAAACAATAAGACTGGTGGTTTGAACAGTTTGTTCTAGCGACATTTATTTTGGAAGGAAATAAGCCCGTTATTCCCATTATGCCCTGTTTTCGTCTTATTTATTGGTGTTAATGGTTTTCTCCAGCTCTGGCCAGTGGTAGAATTATTGGGCCAGTCAGAGCTGTTTGGCAGGAAATGCAAGAAGATATGAAAAGGGGCAGGATTCTGAGGGGTTTTACTCCCCAAGTTCCTGGGGTGCTTCCCAGAATGACGCAGCAAATGCCACATGCCAGATATTGCCCTGAGACTCTGACCTATTTTAACTTAATCTTACAGCAGCACAATGAAGAAGTAGGGGAAACTGAGGCACAGGGTCACATCTCATAGCTGGTGAAAGTCAGAGATAGAAAAGATTCCAGAAATAAACCCAGGCGATATGTGTCAGGAGACCATATTCTTAACCACTTTGCCCAACTCAAGCACAACTTGCAAAGGATCAGGTAATAAGTATTTTGGGCTTGGCAGGCCACGTGTTCTGTTACAACTACTCAACTCTGCCTTTGTAGGAGGAAAGCAGCCACAGACAATATGTAAGTGAATAAACGTGACTGTGTTCCAATAAAACTTTATTTATAAAAACATATGGCTGGCTGCATTTGATCTGTGGGCTGTTGTTTGCCCACCTCTTCCCTAGGTGTGGCCTGTGTGGTCTCTTTTAGCTCCAGGTGGACCCGAGCCTCAGGTGTTCCCTTTGCTGAGCTTCAGCCTGCCTGGCCTTGGCTCAGTGAAGGTGGTGGAGAGGGGAGGCTCCCATGGGATAAGAGTGAGTTTCTAAGAGTCTGTTCTTCCACGCCCATGCCTCTCACCCGCCAGTACGCCCCTCAGCGGGGTGGCTCCATGAGCTCTGCTCACTCAGCAGGGGTCAGCCACCTCTCCCCTGTCCTCAGAGAGGTTCCAGGGAGACTTTCCTTCCGTTCACCTGACAGATCATCCCCCAAAGGTGCCATGCTCAGTACCTGGCACCTAGGTCACCCTTATTAAGTGGCCACTCCAGTCACATTTGCACCCTTAGACCTTGCAGAGGCCTCGTATGGCCTGGAAATTGGGAGTCTCGATAACATGGTCCTAAGAGTGAGGGCTTTGGTGCCTATCTAGATCCTGCCATGGGATTGTGGACACAGTCCTCTCTCAGCCTCAGCTTCCTTTCACATGGCCATCACCATCTCTAATTCAGTGAAGATTAAAGGCCAGAATGCACCCAAAACCCAGCGCCTGGCACAGAGGAAGTGTGCCATAGCAACAGTTGCTAATCAAGCCGGCGTTCTCGCGCTCTCCTTTGGAGACACCCCTTGCACCCTCCGTCGCCCTTCTCAAAGAGGCAGAAAAGGCTGAAGAAGAGGGTGTCCTCCACTTGGAAAATGGGTTCCTCCAGGTCCCAGCAGGGCAGCTGGAAAGAGAGGAAGCTGTCTGGACAGGAACGCAGCCCTTTCCCTTCCCTTCAGTGTCTGAGGGGATGGGAGAAATCTCAGGATACTGGACATCTTCAGGTCCATTAGCCCCAGAGGCCAGCTTGTGCCCGCCCCAGAATTTCCCTTCACTGAGATCCTGGGTGTGCGTCTCCAGAGAGGGCTAACTGGATCGGGTGGGGCTGCGTGGAGTATCTGGGTTCACCCTCTGGGCCTGCAGGCCTGCTGCTGGCCTGTCGGAATCAAGCATGAAGCATGAAGACATTCACCTCCCGCCCAGTGGGTAATTTATTTATTTCCGTCTGAGACAGCTGGGTCTTGACCTCTTTAATTATGCAACGTGGCAGCCTCTACAACCAAGTCAGCAGTGGCTTGGGAAGCCATTAGGGGATAAGTCTTGCCTGGGGAGGGATGGGATCAGGAGATCTCACTGAAGAAGTGATAATCTTAACAATAATCACAATAATAATTCTAATAAGTATTATTAGTATTCTGCCAGTATTAAGCCCTGTGTCTTTTCATTTAATTTTTCCACCAGTCTTATTGGCAGATTCTTTTTCTTAACTCCATTTACCAGTGAGGAAGAGCTTTAGAGAGGTAAGTGGCTGGTCTAGTGTCACATAAGTAGAATGACTTATGTGGTACTGCCATCTGTGACTTTGCTAGCTGTAGTTTAATGAAGTAGGGACGGTTGGAGTCAGGGGGTGGTCGACATCTGTTCCCCCTTCTTTTGCTGACCATCCCAATTTTCCTTTGGAAATCAACCCCTCCCTCCTATGCAGTTGGTGGGGGTGACCCCCTTTTCTGGCTCCAGGAGTGACCCTGTGGTCCTAG